AAAAAAAAAAAAAAAAAAAAAAAAAAATCACTATTGAATCTTTAAGCCTTAATTTTTCTTCCACTGGGACAGGGATCATGGTTTCACAGGTTTGCGCAACATACTAGAATAAGAGCCTGACTGGGGTCTTTGATGATAACAAAGAGCAACATGGAGAGACAGGATACAGCAGCCAGGGAAGAAAAGTGAACAAGATCAACTATCAGGCATTACCTGAGGGAGAAGGTGATTTGGTTTAAAATGAGATTTAAAAAGAGGGATTTATAACCACTCATGACTATCTGTAAAATCCCAAACAAGCCAATTTAGGCCTCTATCATGGCAGCCAGAGTTGGGGGGAAAATATGGCCTGCAGACTGCAAATGGCCTTCCAGGCCATTCTATCTGGCCCACAGGGCCCCTCCAAAAAACAATTATTACCGTCCTGCGGTGACCCCACTGAAAGCCAGTGGGAGGTAGGCTTTCAGAGGCTGTGCGCCATCAGACTTAGTAAGCTCTGTGCCTCCACCTCTGTGGGCCTGCCAGCACTCCAGCTAGGAGCCCCATGTGAAAGCACCAAGCATGATGGCGCATGCCAGGGCAGCTGGCAAATGGGGAGTGGAGCTCCTGCCTCCAGGTGCATGTGGGTGGGGATATGGTTAGTAGGCGAGCGTGGGCCCCCTTGCCACACACCCCTCCTCCACATGGTGCACAGCCGCTGCCACTAGTGGCAGCAGTAACAGGCAGAGGGCCCTTGGGACACTCACAGCCCTCAGTGGCAAGTGGCTCCAACCGAGTCCTGGGAGCTGAACATGGCAGCATGGAGCTGACCTGGCCTGCTAACACGCCTTCAGACCAGACCGGACTGGCTCCATACCAGTATGTGTGGTGCCCAGCCCTGCAGATGGGAGCTGCATGCCGTCAGGCCAGGCTGGCTCTGTGCCTCCATGTGGCTTCCAGCACTCTAGTAGGGAGCTGCACCCACAAACCCCACTCCCACCCACACAAATTCCACCCTCACCACCCCTCACACCCACACCTATACAAATCCCATTCTGCCCTTCCCCCACAACATACAAGAATAAGACTAAGTTATTATGCAATCAGCTCTATATACACTAGGCAAACGCATGTAAATCAGGACAAAATTTTTTTTTCAAATAAAATTATAGTATGTTACAGTAGGTGTTTGATTTTTAGTGTATGGTTTTTTTTTTCTGGTTCCAAGGTGGCAACCTCCCTCCCCCAAAAGGAGTTCCTTCAGGGCTATGGGGAGGGATTTCCGTGTGGCAAAAGTCAGGGGTTAGGGAGTGGGACTTCTGGTCCCAATCTGGTGACCAGGGGGCAGGGCACCTGCCAAGGGGTGGGGCTAGGGTAGCCCTCAATAGCTAACCAAAAGACATTAAGCAGCCCTCCAGCCTCGATAAGTACCCATCCCTGAGCTAGAGGAAAAAACTTTCAGCATCTTTTTTTTAGAAACAGCATTATCATGATTACAAGGCAGTCAGTAGAGGGTAATACAACGCACACCCTCTAGCAAATCTGACAGATATGAAGGAACCTAGACACACATCAGACAATGCAGCACAGGTGGGATGAGGAGGGATACAACTGAGCAGCACATTTCTGATGTGGTCACTGAGCACCATGCTGGATTTTATACACTACCAAGTCAAAGACACATGTGCAAGGCTAGCAAGCTTGTAACACCATGGTGCCCTATTTAAGCCAGGTACTCAGCATCTGGATATGACGCACACTCAGATGTTTCTGCTGCAGCTGAACATAACTACTGCCCCTCTCTTCCATCTACCATGGAGCTATGAAAAGGAATCAAGGGCAGCCCAAAATGAATTAAAAAGAGTATATTCCCTTTGAGAGAATATTGGAGAGGAAGTCCCATCTCCCAGTTTAGCCCTTACATCTAGGCCTCAATGAAAAGCAGTCTCCAAACAATTCAGAAAAAGCACTTACTGCAGGGCCTCAGTCCAAGAAACACCATTAATGGCATCAGGTCCAGTTGCTCACTCAGGGGTCAGCAGAGCAATTACTGCATAGTAGCCCACCCTACTTCAGCTTTCTTCTTCTCAGATGCACCAGGGTTGCGAGCAGGCAGCATACTGCCTCCACCAGGGCTACGAGCAGAGGCTCAAGTGTCTCTTAAAAGGGACAACACCACTCATTTAACAAGCTGTGTAGCTAACACACGCAGTGCTGAGCGCAACACACATTTCTCACAGAAAAGTAACACTGTGGCACCACTCTTTTTGGCAAACTATAACATCAAGACCTGCCTAAACAAGGAGACTGTAAGAATAGTTACAAATAATGATAAAGCAACCAATAAAAAGTCTAACTACCCCATTGATGGATGAGCCAGACACCTTTGGTGCAGAGCAGAAGCCTGCTTCTGGAGCAGTAGAGGTCTTGTAACAGATGCATTCTATAGAGGAAGAGTATTCTACATATTAAAGTGTTGCTGAGGTGGACTGAAAGAACAGGGGCCTTCACCCAAAAGTGAACATACAAGCAAAAGGGAATACAGCACTTTTTATTGAACAGGAAAGCTATAAAAGGAAGCAAGTTAAAACTCAGTTTTGTATTATTTTTAATGTTTAAGAGGATTTCTCTACCACTACGGATAAGATCATTTGCCTTGCTTTTTCTGCACATTGGTGCTAGTCTCATCCCCTCAATCCTAACAATGATAGAACACGAGGATTTAAGATTTTAGTGTTACCTTGGCTGGTTTTTTCCCCTTCCTCCTTTCCTTGAAAATATAGCTAGTGGCAGTGCTGATGTGAGGTCAGTAATTGCTCAGAAACTCAGCACTTGCAGAATGAACAGATAAAGGTTTTCTTAACAAGTACATGCATTTGAACCTGTTTGCTTTACAAACACAAGTTACTGCATGCTTACTGCTTCATAATGAACAGCCGATACCAAGTCCATGATGAATTCTTTTAATTGTTAACATCTGTTCTTAGCTGCTTCTATCAAAACACAGATATCTCCAAGAATGAATTAGCAAGTGCTGCTGGAGTAACTGACAAAACAGACCAGAAAAAGCCAACCACTCTGCACCATTTAAACAACTTATTTAAAACAAATGCCTTGAACACAACACCAGATAAGTGAATAATTAACTGAATACAAAATCAAGTTATGTAACAGTGTAACTTTTATTTATAAGCGCTGAGGCACTGCATGCCAACATTATCCTTCAGTGGTCCAATGCTTTGCCATTCCCTGCCATCTTTACACACACAAGTGTCTCTCACAATATTTGTGGTGATAAAGTAAAAGGGATGAATGACCTGGTGGACTTTAGTCTCCCCATTCTAAACCTAGGTTCTTAAAAAAAAACAAGATACTCCAGTTTACTAAACATTCAGAGTTTAAAAACAGATGCTTAGAGGATGTGGCTTTATGTTTATCCTGTGACAAAATGACAAACTCTGACCGCAGCATAGGGAGATGGCCAAGACTGGTAGGTACTAAAAAATCCTCCTGTGCACCATGTCTATACAAATTTAAATATAAAAATGTAATAAAATATTTCATATATACAAACATGTAGAATCACAACCCTCAAAACATGAAAATATATTTACAATAAAATTCACTTCTGGTGATATAGCAGCCTAATCTAACACACACCTCTTCAATTCAGTCATTTAAGCCTTCACAGATCAACATTTTGTTACTACACGCAACATGCCGTATGGGGCTCCAAAAGATTAAAAAGGTAGATTTTGTTACTGGTGATGTGATCCATCCTATGCAGTTTCTTTTCCTATACTTTTTGTAGATAGAATAGCAAGGGACAAGAATTTAAATGTTGTAACTTTAAATGGCTTTGATTTGACTTGATCCTGGGTGGAGAACTGGAAACAGTAATGCCTACTGAACACCAAGGTACATGAGACTCACTGCCAGAACATGAAGCTCTAGATCAGTAGTTCTCAACCTTTTCAGAAGCAGATCACCCCTCCGAGTGTGGTGGCACCCCTGGTTGAGAACCACTGTTGTGCTCAACTTACCTCACCTGTTCTCAACCATGTGCTGATGCCAAGTAAAACTGGCCTAACATGCCTGCATTCCTCCTGCTTGAGGGTTTTCTAACAACCCTAAAACAGGCAGGAAAGCTCGCTTACACTGAAGCACTTCCTAGTCCAACCATCCGCTATATCTTTGAGAAACAGAGATGGAATGAACCTCTGTTTTCAGGAGAAAAGTGCATTGGGCAGTTTGGGGCAGGGGGAAGTGATGCGAGGATGCAGACCAGGAAGGGTCCAAGCAGTCTCTCCTGACTGTTTTAGGGTTAACCAGAGGACCCTAATACAGGAGGAACATGCATGCTGCAGCCTTGTGTGTAGGACAGTTTTACCTGGCTGCCCGTGGCAGCCGCATCTGCATCACAGCACCATTGTTGAAAGACACTGGATGTTTCCAATGTAATCATTACATTTAGACCATGTTGAAACTTCTGCTATTAGAAGCTCTTAAAATATCCAAGCAGTTTTGTTTTTTGTTTTTAAACTAATGCTACCACGAACAGGGAATTCAACACCCAGGTTTTGTGCTACCAATTAACAGCTGCAATCATATGCCTTTGAATGCAAACTTATTTTACCTACAGGCAGTACACTGCACTTAACTATAATGTAACAGGAACCCTTTTGCCTTGTTCCTGTAACTGAAAGATAGGTTATAATGTTTAAAGTATTAGGTGAACCACCATCCTAATGAACAGTGAGCCAGAATTTAATCAGATTTAAGTTTCAGAAGATGTTATTCCTTTTATTTTTGTAAAACCTAATCAGTGATACAGTTTTTCTAGTTTAGAGCTAGGCACAGTATGACACTTGTGTTTATAAATCCTTTTTCCCCTCAGCTCTAACACACACAACCTCATCCATGGACAACTGGTGCCACCTGGGGGTGGGGGGGAGAGTCCCCCCCAGCAGCAGATCTCGCTGCCTGGAGGGAGCTCCCCCATAGCTGATCACTGCGATGGCTTCTGGGAGCGGCCCTGGCCGCTTCTGGAAGAGGCTGCAGCAAAAAAATCAGCCAGCGCTTGCAGGGGGAACACCAGCACTCCCACCTGCCCATCGCCTAAGCAGTGGGCGTGGCCAATCAGGGGGTGCTTGTGCACCCCACTGCACCAGCTACGCATTGCCACTGACCTCATCAGTTCTCTGCCTACCACTTAAAATGTCATCAAAAATTGGGATGAAAAATGCTCTTCAGAAGCCAGAAGTTTGTAATAGAAAGAGATAGCTTGGAAATGATCATGACAGCAACTGGTTACTTGCAAGAGCCTGTAAGAAAATTACGTCATTTTTAACAGCTACATTTATTTTTTAACAAATTCAAAAATACAATGGGGGGGGGGGGGG